GTGGGTCAGATAGCCTCCCCTAGGTCCAAGCCGGAGGACTCTAGGATAGCGGTAGACTCGAGAGTAAGTCCCGCCAAGACAGGAGGCTGTACCTCCTTAGGTTAGCAAGAGACCTGTGTGTAACTCCTGCTAAGTCCGGAGGCTGTACCTTCTTAGGGTATCGGGTGAGGGGACCGTATACCCCTTTGTGTTAGGAACTGTGTAAGAGAAGAATTACAATAAACAGTGTGCCTCATAAGAAGTTTATTCGTATTATTGGTTCTTTCGATAAAGTCACGTAGCAAGATCTGAAATCGCTGCAACCCTCAAAAAGGCTAAGATGCCAGCTAGCAACCTCAGCAAAGATGAGTGTTTTGAATTATATAAATTAAAAAAGAGGGATGACATTGTAATCCTCTCAGCCGACAAGGGCAATGCTACTGTTATCATGGCTAAAATAGAATATAACAACAAAATCAAAGAATTACTCGACAATGGCAGCAATATAAAAATAAAAAGAGATCCCACCAACAGCCTCGTCACACAAACCAACAAAATAATTTCTGATTCAACCGCATAAATTGATCAAACTAAACAGTTTTCGTTGAAACCTTCTGCTGCCAGGCCACCAAGATTATACGGATTACCAAAAATACATAAAGTACATACACCCCTTCGTCCCATCATCTCTACTATCAACTCCCCCACCTACAAACTAGCTCGTTTTCTGTCTGAAATCCTGCGGCCTTTCACTGGAAAAACCACCTCTGCGGTACAAAATTCTACTCACCTGGTATCGACAATCAAGGGTATTTCCCTGTCCCCAGACGTCCTGCTTGTCAGTTTTGATGTAGTTTCCTTATTCACCAAAGTTCCTGTACCTGACACCATCGCAATCATTGAAGACTTGGTTCATCAAGGACTAAACACTGAGGTACCCCCCCTGGTGAGACACTGCTTAACCAATACATACTTCACTTGGAATGGAACTTTCTACAAACTGAGGGCACCCCAATGGGCTCCCCCCTATCTCCGGTTATAGCCAACATTTTCATGGAGACATTTGAGACTGACGCCATCCAGACTGCCACTCTGCGCCCAACCTTATGGAAGAGGTACGTGGATGACACTTTTATCATCTGGCCACATGGCCGGCCTGCTCTAGACCAATTCTTCGACCACATCAATTCCATACACCCAGCCATCAGATTTACCATGGAAGTCGAAAAAGATGGCAAGCTACCTTTTTTGAATGTCCTAATAAAAAAGAGACCTGAAAGTTCAATGAGCCACTCTGTCTACAGGAAAGCTACCCATACGGATGCTTATCTGAAACCGGATTCCCACCACCATCCATCACAGAAGAATTCTCTCATCAAGACTCTGCACCATAGAGCCCAATGCATATCCGACCAGGAACACATAGGGAGTGAACTCAAGCACGTACACCAAGCTCTTAAGGCTAATGGTTACTCCGACTATACAATCCGCAAAGCTATCACTCAAACCATGAAGGACCCTCTTGAGGAGCCTTTCAAAACCATCACTTTACCCTACATTGCGGGAATCACAAAAAATATCTCTAAAATCTTGAATAAACACAAGATCCAGGTCCGTTTCAACACATTACATAAAATCCGTGATCTGGTTCCGTCTGCAAAAGATGTGATTCCGGACATACAGTACCCTGGTGTCTACAAACTAAGTTGCCTCTGTGGTAGTAGTTACATTGGAGAAACCAAACGACATGTCTCGGACCGCATTCGTGAACACAAAGCAGACCTTAAACACGGTAGAACCAACATCTCGGCCGTGGCAGATCACTGTTATAATTCAGTAGGCTCACATGACATTGACTTCTCCAAGAAAGAGGTTCTTTGCAAGCCATCGGGCTAACATGAGAGATTCGTTCATGAGGCTATCCACATATACAAACACAGAGACAATTTCAACCGAGAAGATGGACTCTGGCTTAGCAATCATTGGAAGGATTTGATAAACCATTTCGGGTCTTAATTGATTGTTTCACGCTTACGGTGGCTTTCAGAGAGCAAACATTAATTTTTTGTCTCCCCCCTCCTCTTTTCCGAACATAGATGGACTCGTCTTTCTAAACAGTCAAATTGCTATCCGTGGTGCTAACGTTTAAAAATAAATAAATACAAACCGCCACTTCTTTCAAATGTTTCTTGCCGTTGATTTTCACACCTGATGATGACTGTTTGTGTTACAGTCGAAACGTCGTGAGAATTTTATTGTTTTATATATATTTTATTATTTTATTGTTTCCCTTCAACATGACTTTACTGAAAGAACCAAGAATATGAATCATTGCAGTCACGAAAGCTTTAAATCAAAATTTAAGTGTATTCGTCATTATAAACACTATACACACAAAGGCTAGCGCTAAAGGGCTGCGCGAATTTGTGCGTGCGCCTCGCCGTCAATGCTATTGTTGCACGAACTCGCGCAAGCGCTTGTGTTTAAATACATGCCCACCTCACACACATCCTCAAATTAACAATACCACACCGCCACTACAGCTCTATGCTCACTCTCTCTTGCACACCGTCCGCCCCGCGCAGTCGCACCACACAAATTGCTGACACCACGCCGATGTTCTACTCACACACACAGAAATCACACTGCGCCGATACGCTGAACTAAAGTTTATTAACAGCGCAAATACTCTACCTGGAGGGGAAATATTTTGCGAGAAGAGCTTATCCTAACCCAGCACTCAAACGTCCTACCACGTACCTCATAGCTGTACTCACGGCGTCACATGGACGCTGTGAGAGTCGGAGGGAGAAGGACAAGCGAAAACTTCACCTATCACTGCCTCGTAGCAGCACTCGCTGGCATCACACGGATGGTGCAAGCAGCTCGAGGAGGCAGGACGGCAGGGAGTGGGTCTTGACGGCCCGGAGATTGAAGACAACTGACTTAAAATCGTCCTGGGTTACTCTTTTTGTTATCTAAACTTCAAAGGCCCAAGGTGACATCGTACCACGCAGCCAATCATGCGCTTACCCGTGCCGTCGTCCCTCTCCACCTTCTCTACCGCTGCCTAATCCCCTCACTTCAAAGGCCCAGGGTGGCATTGTACCGCGCGGCCAATCGTGCGCTTACCTACGGTTATCACTGCCCCCCACCCCTCACATGTGACCGGCAGGTGGCGGCGGCCACCCATCATCCCTTTGTCTTGCGCCCTTCTCGCTCAGGGTTCCGTCCTCCGTTCTCCCTCCCCGAGTTGTACCTCATTGCGGTTGGTCCCAGGGAACCTTTTCTTTCTGCTCCCATACAATTTTAAACCAATTTTAGGGGCATCGCAATGTAACCTGCCCTGCGAGGGTCGGTCAATCTCCTGGCAACGGGAAACCATGGGACTTTCCCTCTAGGTGCCCTTCGGATTAAAACCCGATGTGCCAGGCAATCCCCCGCCAGGACACTACGTGGGTGCGCTGCGTGCGGGTTTGTGTTTAGTGCAGGGGCCGGGAGAGAATCGCGGCGCTTGCGGAGTTGCTCCGCGATCGTGGCACCTCATATTTACGCGATCAAGCTAAAAAAATACAGGTAGTCCCCGACTTACGATACAGGTAGTCCCCGACTTACGATGGCGATGCGTTACGACGACCCCATCGTAAGTCGAAAATATCGTAAGTCGAAAATGGCCCTAGCCTACCCAGGAGTCTTAAAGAATGGTGAAAATTTAGCAAAACAGAGCAATTTACAGTACCGTACTGTATAAACGATATACTGTATGTGTTTATTCATTACAATACTGTATTGCACGGTACAATTTAAAGTAAAAAACAAGGTAAATTCTTAGCCTACCTATATGAACTGCAATTTTATCGAAGATTTTTTCAGGAAACAATATCTGCTATAAAAACTTTTAACATGCATTGAACGTATGTATCGTATCGTGGTAACCCTAAAATTAAATCGCTAAAGCTATGTTATCATACATGCATTGAACGTATGGTAACGTATCATATTCTACTGTACTCACAAAGATTGTCCGTCATCTGCATACTTGAACGATGCTGGGTTGTTGATGGCTACATTAACTTAGTTGTCGGAGGAGGATGGCGATGATAAAGTTACAGTATCGTACCTCGTACGCTGCTGCATTTGCCTGCCGCGCGAAATAAAAAAAATATTTTACAATTTTGTCATATCGCCATCGTCGCGATAGCCAACTTACGTGTTAAACTAACGAAGCGAGTTATCTCGCGGTGGAGAGATGTTATCTCCCTCGCCTGGTATGCAGGAGGTCGTGTGTTCTATCCCGGCCCTGACAAAACCTGCTGTCTATTTGGAGTTTGCGTGTCTCTCTCCCCGTGGTCCTGTAAAACAAAAAAACAATTCCGGGTTTTACGTTTTTTCTCCTCCCCCCACACATTTATAATCAACATCACCACACGCTTCGAGTGTTTGGCTGCTGCCATACATTCTCTAATGGCAACGTCAGCCACTTCGTTATGCTATCATTTGTGGCCAGGTCGCTTCTGAAAAAATAGCTAATAGCTCGGTGGGCCTTAGCTGCTAAAATAAAACATTACGTAGTTTTTTTAGTTTAGAGCTCTGTAGGGTACAGCGTCTGTAAATCGATGCGAGGATCGCAAAAGACGACAAGAATCGATTGTCCGTGACTCCGCCTTCGTGTCGCCGCGTACCCGGATGTCGACGCCGCGGGGGCAATGCGGGTGACGTCACCATAGCAACGAGACGCGGAGAGAAGCACACAGGTCGAGTTGCACTCCTCACACTCCTCACCTCACACTCCTCACACTCCTCACCTCACACTCCTCACACTCCTCACCTCACACTCCTCACACTCCTCACCTCACACTCCTCACACTCCTCACCTCACACTCCTCACACTCCTCACCTCACACTCCTCACACTCCTCACACTCCTCACCTCACACTCCTCACCTCACACTCCTCACACTCCTCACCTCACACTCCTCACACTCCTCACACTCCTCACCTCACACTCCTCACACTCCTCACACTCCTCACCTCACACTCCTCACACTCCTCACACTCCTCACCTCACACTCCTCACACTCCTCACACTCCTCATCTCACACTCCTCACACTCCTCACCTCACACTCCTCACATAGCAACGAGACGCGGAGAGAAGCACACAGGTCGAGTTGCACTCCTCACACTCCTCACCTCACACTCCTCACCTCACACTCCTCACCTCACACTCCTCACACTCCTCAGACTCCTCACCTCACACTCCTCATACTCCTCACACTCCTCACCTCACACTCCTCACACTCCTCACACTCCTCACCTCACACTCCTCACCTCACACTCCTCACACTCCTCACCTCACACTCCTCACACTCCTCACACTCCTCACCTCACACTCCTCACACTCCTCACACTCCTCACCTCACACTCCTCACACTCCTCACACTCCTCACCTCACACTCCTCACACTCCTCACTTCACACTCCTCACACTCCTCACCTCACACTCCTCACCTCACACTCCTCACACTCCTCACACTCCTCACCTCACACTCCTCACACTCATCACACTCCTCACCTCACACTCCTCACACTCCTCACCTCACACTCCTCACCTCACACTCCTCACCTCACACTCCTCACACTCCTCACACTCCTCACCTCACACTCCTCACACTCCTCACACTCCTCACCTCACACTCCTCACCTCACACTCCTCACCTCACACTCCTCACACTCCTCACACTCCTCACCTCACACTCCTCACACTCCTCACACTCCTCACCTCACACTCCTCACACTCGCTTCTCACACTCCACACCTCACACTCCTCACACTCCCTTCTCACACTCCTCACACTCCTCACCTCACACTCCTCACCTCACACTCCTCACACGCCTCACACTCCTCACCTCACACTCCTCACCTCACACTCCTAACACTCCTCACACTCCTCACCTCACACTCCTCACTCCTCACACTCCTCACCTCACACTCCTCACACTTCTCACACTCCCTTCTCACACTCCTCACACTCCTCACCTCACACTCCTCACACTCCTCACCTCACACTCCTCACCTCACACTCCTCACACTCACTCCTCGCTCGCTTCTCACTCCTCGCTCGCTTCTCACTCACTCCTCACACTCCTCACTGGCTTCACACTCCTCACAATCCTCCCCTCACTCTTGCCACTCACTGCTCATACTCTCACTGCGAACCCTATCGCACCTGTGGTGTGATTATGCTGGTGGTGAGGCATGGTAGTGAGGCTGTGGGTGATGGTGGTGAGGCTGCCTGGTGATGGTGGTGAGGCTTTGTGGTGATGGTGGTGAGGCTGTGTGTGATGGTGGTGAGGCTGCCTGGTGATGGTGGTGAGGCTACGTGGTGATGGTTGTGATGCTGCCTGGTGATGGTAGTGAGGCTGTGTGTGATGGTGGTGAGGCTGTGTGGTGATGGTAGTGAGGCTGTGTAGTGATGGTAGTGAGGCTGTGTAGTGATGGTGGTGAGGCTGCCTGGTGATGGTGGTGAGGCTGCGTGGTGATGGTGGTGAGGCTGCGTGGTGATGGTGGTGAGGCTGTGTGGTGATGGTGGTGAGGCTGTGTGGTGATGGTAGTGAGGCTGTGTGGTGATGGTAGTGAGGCTGCGTGGTGAGGCTGCGTGATGATGGTGTTGAGGCTGTGTGGTGATGGTAGTGAGGCTGTGTGGTGATGGTGGTGAGGCTGTGTGGTGATGGTAGTGAGGCTGTGTGGTGATGGTGGTGAGGCTGTGTGGTGATGGTAGTGAGGCTGCGTGGTGATGGTGAGGCTGCGTGGTGATGGTGGTGAGGCTGCGTGGTGATGGTGGTGAGGCTGTGTGGTGATGGTAGTGAGGCTGTGTGGTGATGGTAGTGAGGCTGTGTGGTGATGGTGGTGAGGCTGTGTGGTGATGGTAGTGAGGCTGTGTGGTGATGGTGGTGAGGCTGTGTGGTGGTGGTGGTGAGGCTGTGTGGTGATGGTAGTGATGCTGTGTGGTGATGGTAGTGATACTGTGTGGTGATGGTAGTGAGGCTGTGTGGTGATGGTGGTGAGGCTGTGTGGTGATGGTGGTGAGGCTGTGTGGTGATGGTGGTGAGGCTGCGTGGTGAGGCTGCGTGATGATGGTGTTGAGGCTGTGTGGTGATGGTAGTGAGGCTGTGTGGTGATGGTGATGAGGCTGTGTGGTGATGGTGGTGAGGCTGTGTGGTGATGGTAGTGAGGCTGTGTGGTGATGGTGGTGAGACTGTGTGGTGATGGTAGTGAGGCTGTGTGGTGATGGTAGTGAGGCTGTGTGGTGATGGTAGTGAGGCTGCCTGGTGATGGTGGTGAGGCTGCGTGGTGATGGTGGTGAGGCGACGTGGTGATGGTGGTGAGGCTGTGTGGTGATGGTGGTGAGGCTGCGTGGTGATGGTGGTGAGGCTGCGTGGTGATGGTGGTGAGGCTGTGTGGTGATGGTGGTCAGGCTGTGTGGTGATGGTGGTGAGGCTGTGTGGTGATGGTGGTGAGGCTACCTGGTGATGGTGGTGAGGCTGGCTGTGCGGTGATGGTGGTGAGGCTTTGTGCTGATAGCGGAGTTCTGCTCTTACACGGATGTGATGATGTTGCCCGGCGACCCGAGTTCGAATCTTGCTCACGGCCACCACCGGTGACGATTATCTGAACCGGTCCTGGGCCTCCCCTAAATCGACTCAGCCTCAAATAAGTACCTGGTACGGTGTGTAAACATCGCCACCAGGGAGACAAATGCGGCTGGGCGTGGTGTTGGCCACCCACCCCCTCGTGTGCCGTGATGGCCTTAAATAGGTGCTCGCTTACAGCACCTTCCCCAACAGTCTGTTAAGGATAAACGGGGGATCTTCGTCTCTGTATATTTTAAGCAAGTCGTGTGGTGGTGATGGAGAAGTGTCTCGCACAGCAGGAGCAGGATGCCTCGGGGCCGATCTGCGCGCAGCCCGCTGTCCGACATGAGTGACGTGGATCTCGATGGCCTGGGTAATCTCATCCCGCCGCACGTATGGCCTTACAAAGGCCTCGCTACTGGAGATGACGCGGCCCAGCGATAGCACGTTCGCCGCTCGTTGCAGAAGGTTTACGGTTCGAATCCAGCGGCCGCCATGAATTATTACTACACACACCGTCTGCTAGCGTTATTCGCAAGAGCAGGTCATTGCGTCCACATTTGTTAAATTGACCCCCAAATTACTCAATTGGGATCACACATTTTAATCATCGCCACCTGCTTTCCAGACTCATGCCCCAAATCACTCTTGAAAATCAGACTCACCCCGATCTCTTTTGTTAATCACCTGGTTCAACTGTCCCTGCAGTGGAGGACAAAAAAGGCAGACTTAGGTACCCTATCCCTTCACCCCTTATCAGCTGAAAGCTAGATATGCGGGTACTGGCAAGAACTGGTTCAGTGAAAACACAACTCAAGTGAGGTCTGTGATCAAAGGAGAATTTGGTCTATGAATGGACAATAATCTGTGGGGGCAGTACTGAATCCCTTCATTGAAGCAAATACAACGGAGACATCTCAGTCATGTTCATTGTTCTGGAGCTCGCCACATTCGCTGAGGAGGATACAGCCTTGAAGTCTGTTTGGGATTTATAACGTGTGGATATCACCTTTCCTGTCCGAGCAGTCATGTGACAGTAGTAACCTTAAGTTACAGGGTGTGATGTTATTGATTAGTTCTGCTGCTGTCCATGTTCATTCAAAATCATTTAGATTGCTTTTGTTTAATAAAGCACGGTCTTTGTTTGACTGGGTGGAGTCACGTGGTCATCATTGCAATGCTGTATCCAACGTCGTCACATTTTTGATGTGCATATGATGATATCGAGATGCTGCAAAACAATATGATAATTTGTCTTTGTAAAAGTTAAGAACTCATCTTCATTACTTTGCAAATATTTTTTAATACAGTATTCACCATAATCTGTCTGCTTGGTTGTTAATTAATAGGCTGAAGTATGCACATTGTCTTGCTTAGATGCCCTGCCTGGGCTGTCTGGGTCAGGGCGCCCAGGTGCAAGGGGAGGGTCGGGGTTTGGGCCTTCCAGCCTCTACTGTGTCAATGACTAAAAACCTGGGCCGTCATTGAGTTTAATGGCCCTGTAATGTGACACTGTCGCAGGTTAACTGACGAAGCCGAGTTTCTTTGTTTCGCATGGGATCAAATGGCTGAGAGTTCCATGTGGGAGCATTTCACCATTTTGCTTCAGCCCTTTTGTCTATTCCACAGCAGAAGGGGAACTGAGCAAGCTCCAGCGGCAGTGCCGCATCATCGAGGGTGACCGGCAAACGTACAACATGGAGTCCCAGGATCTTATCCGCAGGCAGATGTAATACAGCCCTTCTACCTATCTCTAAAAAACATGCTTGGATCATGCTGACAATGTGAAGGCTTTGAGTGCCCGCCTTACTAAAATTACCTTAACAAAGCACTGGTGTGGTGTGGCTACGTCCCCCGTGTTCAGTGGATGTATGATGAGCCGCTTGCATTCCCCTTTCTCTGTCTTTACACCATTGTGCTCTCTCCAGTACCTATCCCTTTGTGACATGCAGAAGGCAGTGAGGCCCCATGATTGTTGACTTTCTCTCTCAATTAAATATATTTGCCCGCTGTAGGCCAACATTTTTTTTGGTAAGCTAAACTATTAAACTATTTTTATTTTCCCAGGTTAAGCCTACTGAGCTATATAATTATTTTTCAGAGGCGACCTGGCCACAATGATAGCTCAACGAAGTGGCTTATGTGGAAATGTATAGCAGCCAAATACTCTCAACGCATGTTTCTAAATGAGGGGACAAAACCCGGAGGACCTGGAGAAAAATCCACGCGACTACGGGTGTAGTACATGCAAACTCCAAATATACAGCAGGCGTAAGCGTCGGGATCGAACCCACGGCCTCATGTATACTAGGCGAGGCAGATAACATCTCACCACCATGGCGGTGGTTGTGTTGGCCCGACAGGTCCGAGATCTTCAAGCTGGAGAAGGAAAAGGAGGATCTGTTGCAGAGCGTCCGTTTATCGGAGCGCAAAAGCATGAGACTGCGGGACCAGGAGTGCACAGAGAACCTGCGAGCCATGCTGGAGCTGCGCGAGGCGCTGGAGAGTGACATCAGCCAAGAGAGACGCAGGCTGGACGAGCTCGATGTACAGGCAGGGATTCCTCACAGACTCGCAGCCTCAAAGCATTAAAGCTCGTCACTCCACTGACTGGTGTACAGTTCAATCGAGACTGTATTAAGTGCGAAGGGACAGGTGAACGGTTGGTTTGACTCGTGCACATGGTGGGTGTGCGTGTCTCACGTGTGCGCGTGTTTGGCGGGTATCAGGTGAAACAAATGGAACGGAAGATGGAAGCGGAGAGGAGAAAGTCAGGGGGCTCCTCTGGCACACGCACACACGTGACACGGGCGCACAAGTACACGCATGTGCTGGAAAATCGACTCGACACGGTACGTCACACAACACGTCCAGCACTCTTGATGTCCTGTGAAAATGTGTTTTTGCGTGATAAATTGTGCTTCCGGGCAGTAAAGAAGCTGGAAAAGCCACCTTTAAACCTTTTTTATCCTGACAAGATTTGGTAGCGAAATTTTACGTCACGCTACCTTCATCATGGGGTTGAGACAATATCCTTCCTATTCCCAATGACATGGTCACAAATGCTTGAGAGCTCAGAGCATCACATAATGGGTTACATCAATCACTGTCGGCCAATCGCATCATATGATAGGTTAAACTATTAAAAGGCAAAGCACAGGCAAGTTCAAGTCGAGTGGTATGTTTATGGGCAGAGATGCATTGTTGCTAAATGCGCCTACACCTGTATTTGCAGGCGCTGAGCAAGTTTAACGTGCAGCTGACCCAAAATGCAAGACTGCGAGAAGACATTGAGAGCCTGAGAGTGGAGCGTGAGCACTTTGAAAATATCTACAGGAAATTGCTAAAGGTATGAACACAATGTTGTACACCACTACCCTGGTGATTCGATTATTTGCCTCAATTTGATTTTATAATTGATGGTAGTTTTTAGCATTGCAGTGAATGATAGCACCTCTAATGACTGCATGGGGAATGTGAATCGTTTACCACGAATATGATTCTTTAAATAACATCTGTTTACTGATAATGCAATTCAATGCATGTAATCGTGAGGTTAAGAAGTGATATTAAGTGAATAGATTCATTAATTAATTAACAATAAGCACGTAATTTGATTGTATACAGTCGTATCTGTGATGAGGTTTTCAGGTTAGTGATGTGCCATTCAATTAGGGTTGCCACCTAGTCGGGTTTGACCCAGACAGTCTGGAAATTGGCATCTGCGTTTGGGTGGCAGGGTTTTAATTGTATTGAGTTTACATTTATTACGGTATATTGCACGGTTTTGATAGACAAAGCATGACAGAGAAATATGTCTGGGCTTGGTCTACAGTGGAAAAGGTGGCAATGCTGCGTTTAGTGAAGTGTGCTGAGCTCTCCTGTGACTGCGAGTGGCTGCCATGCCGCATTGCAACCACTCGCAGTCACACAAGGAAAGCGAGACAGAAGCATGATATTGTTTGGCTCGTAAGACGTTGAGGCACGCTTATTTTCACAATGCAGTACAGTGTGGATTTATTTATCATGTGAATGCAACCACATCTCAAAACACTCTACAACACAGTGGGACACTGGCCTCCTGGGGAAAGGAAAGGTATGTTTGTTCACATTAGTTATGTCCTGGCTGTGCCAGCTGTCTGTGTATGTGGCTCATTATTGGTTCTGGACCCCAGTTACTCTGTCCTGGGCTGTTGCTCTGCTCTATCCTGTGTTTCCTTGCCCTGACCCCCACCCCTCATCTTTCTTCAATCCTGATGTGGTTCTTTATTTTTGTGAATTACTATGATATATAGTTCAATTCAGATGCTATTAATTTACATTTTCTGCTGGGGTTTTTGTATTTTATGAGCAAAAATACAGTCTTGAGCCTGGACTTGAACTGTGGCAGAGAGAGTCAGCAGAACGGGCAGCAGCAGGAAGGGAGTTCCATAATTCTGAAGCAGTAGAGGAGCAGGAGTGATCTCCCACTGAACAAAGGTTGATGGGGGCTGCAATATAAATATTTGGTTGATAGAGCTGAGAGTGCATCAGGGTGTGTAGAGGGAGATGAGAGAGAATAGATAGGTGAGCACGTGGAAGATAGTATAGTGTGATAGGAGGAGAGAGCGCATGGAGCGGAGTAGATTGGGATGAGAAAAAACAGAGTTTACGGCGAGCAGTAGAGGTAAGCGGGTAGTGGTAGGCATGAATGTGTCCATGTAGAATCTTGAAGATGCTGAGCATAGTTGTAGTTGATCCAGGATGGGATTGAGAGCCAGTGGAGAGATCAGAGTATTGGGATGATGTGGTCTCATTTACTGATGCTGGTGAGGAGTCCAGAAGCAGCAATGTAAATCATCCGGTGTGTGGAGGAGCAAGATTTGAGGAGGGTGTAGAGGAAAGAGTTGCAGTAGTTGAGCAGAGAGGTTATGAAGGCATACACAAGGGTCTCAGCGGTGGCTGGAGTGATGAAATAGTGGATGTGGGAGATGTTGCACAGATAGAGGTATGATGTCCTTCACAGTTGAGAAATGTGGGACGAAAATGAGAGCTTGGGCACCATGACGATTCCAACGTTTCATATACTCTGAACACTTTTTCACATGATGCCCTTGAGTTTGATGGCATTAAACCACCTACTTTGTAACGGCAGTGTTGCGTATCTGATGCTGTAAAACAGAGCTCATGCGCCACTTAATGATACCTATTTGGAAGCTAAAATGTATTGCTTGCATAGGCAGGGCAGGTAGACATGTGGCTCTGAAAGCCAAATTCAGATTCCATATGTGGCTTCCAATGTTACGTCCTAATCTCCTGAAACTTAACTTAAAGACAGATAAAACATTTTATTATAAAGACAGATTCTTCAAGGAAGGTGCAGCAAAAAACGCTACCTCTCATCTGCGTAAATCTAGATATATCCTATTTGTGGTTATCTGCAAAATATACTCTTATCATGAGGTACTCGTTAAAATGCCTCTTCATCGTCTGGTAAAAAAATAGCAAGGGCTTCTCAATATCCTTTGCCTTCTCAATAAATATACAAATACAAACAAATAGACCAAAATAACAAAGGTAGCATTGTTCTTGCAGGGTTTTCGCTTGTATTTCCCCTGCTGTGTGTGTGTGTGTGCAGGAGCTGCAAGACACTCACCACGAGATGGACATCGTCATGGACACGTCTACGGCAGCTTATGACTCCAGGTAGTAAGTTTTATTCTGATTGTTCAGGCTGAGGAAGAGTGAAAAGTCAAAACAATAAACTCCCAGTGGGCAGTACTTTCACACTCAAAAGTAAAAGTGATTTCTTGCTCAAATAAGTATGCAGCTAGTGCTCGTCTCCTGCTTACAACCCTAATCCAGGAAGTTAAAATTCATAAATCCTATGACAAGGGCAAGTGCGTCCATGGGACAACCATTGTTAACGTCCCCATTGAATGGCACCTATTTTATGGACCCTTGAGGGATGATGGGCTTATTTTCAAATGCGACCTGGCCTGTGAACTCTGACCGGTGAAGAGTGTCTGTGTGTGTATGTGCCAGTTTGTTGCATTCACTCATTTATTTAGTGGATTTAAAACCGGGCGAGAGTCAATTGAGCCTACAGGTCTCTGTGTCATAGGAGATCACGGTTAGTAAACGAAATACAGGAATAGAATGCAATTGCACAACTCTGAAAGTTTTTTTTTTTGTAAAATATCTCGAACAAAGCTCTTGTGACTGTAAGTTAAATACGTTCCTTGAAATAGGCAAAAGATCACAAATACAATACAGTATGCCCATTACTCTTTACAGGAAGACCTTGTGTAGTGCGACTCCGTAGAACACTGATTCATTATAGCGCTCTTTGTCCTGGAGAACGTTTTTTTTCTTAAACATTAAGATCCAAAAATCTAAAGAGTGCCTACGAGTGAGAACACGCAAGGTGCCAAGGAAACGCACCTACAACCATCTTTACATTTACTCAGCTAGTGAGAGCGATGTCCGCTTTGAGCCAACCCGAAACCCACCCCCCCCCCCCCCACGATTCGAACATCACAATTCGTGGCCACGATTACCAGTTTAAAAAAAAAAACATCACGTTCCTGGTAGTAGCTCCTCAAACCTCGTCTGCCACCGCTGTCATGTTGGAGCACAGCAGAATGCACTGGTGAGTACAGTACATAATACTTATGATATTATAATAGGAAATACATTTTCATAATAAAATAAGGTTTACCATTTGTATTATTACTAGCACGATTACCTATATCCCAATTAAGCCCTCATATATTGCTCATACGTAAAAAAGAATGTTTTCTGGAATGCATCACAATAAATACAATGGTATAATGCCCCCTTTTTAGCGAGGATTCGATTACCGCTCACTTCTCCATGAATGTGTCTTAAGCTCTAAGTGAGGTCTGCATTTAGTTTATTTTGCCAATTTTAAACAAGACCCTCCACCACCTGACAGAGCCAGTCAAATCAAGTTGTCACATGGGTAAATGTATCAATTGATTTGGATTTTTCAGCAAATCCGAGCACTGGAATGCAAGCACAGTTTTGGCAATTGTTATACAACGTTTCTCTGCAGATTACATCCAGCAACATCAGATGTTATCAAGGGCTCAGTTTTCCCTTGAAAGAGCTTCCTGGTCCAGGTTCTTAAATAGGTGCCATGATGTCATCAGCACAATCATGCATGTGATCCAGTTTAATATTGAGAGTTGATTGCTATTTGATTGGTTGTGACAGTATGCTAACAGATTTAGAAACCATCAAAAGCATGAGTACTCGAATTTTTGGAACAATTAATGCAGCCTCTCATAGGCGAGTTATTGAGAGGGAACAGGAATACATAGTAGAAGATATACCTGCCGGATTGTCCCGGGTTGGCGAGACATCTCTGAGGGAGTTGTGGCGCGATGCCTATGGTGGCACGTGCACGAGCAGGGATGAGGCACGCACTAAAGTGGCGCTGCTGAGGGAGAAGGCCGACAAGGACGGCGCCCAGTACGCCACCGAGATGAAGGAGCTGCAGCGCCTGCTCGACCATGAGCAGCGACTCCGCGATTTCATGGGAGTCAAGGGGCAAGAGAGAGTCAGCTTGGAGACTGGAGCGCTGTACAGAAAAGGTCTTGCACAGCGGCCGGCATCCTCACCCACCCACCATGTTCACTTCTCACGTCTCTACAGCAGGCCTGTTACACGATTTTTCACCCGACCTGTCATGTGACCTGTTATGCGCCTACTATTCATACAGACGAGGTTGAGAAAAGGCAGCGGGAGCTCGTGCAGGAGAGTGTGGAGTCGTACGAAGCCGCCTTCCAACAGATCCATGCCATCACACACGAGGACGACCTTGACACGCTCGTGGGAGCCTTCATTGAGGGTGATTGTTCGCACTGTCGCTGAGACTCGGTTGTTTCCAAATGAACACAGATGATGCACGACTAAAGGCTGACGTTCACAATGCCAAACCAATGCCTCTTGTTGCAGTGGAGGATCGTAACTTTGCACTCTTCAACTATGTGAACGAACAGAACAATGAAATAGAATATCTACAGGATCAGATTGCAGAGGTGAGTTTGTGTGAAATATTGTAATTAGAAAGTATTTTTTTTGGTTAAATGAACATTGCGGTAGTGCTCATCTCCTGTTTACAGCTCTGAGTCAGTGGTAGAAATTCCACGTTCCTATGGTGGGAGTTAACCTCTCCATAGGCAAGACACTGTTGATTTACCCATAAAGTGGTGTTCGTTTTATGGACCCTGGTGGAACGATTGGTTGAGTCAAGCCCCAACCAGAACTTTAATTCACAACCTTCCCTTTGCAAGCCACTCACTCTACCACTGAGCCACCTGACTATCAATAGTTTATTACATCACAGCTAAGGGCTCCGAGAGTTCCATTTCTTTATTATGTTTGCGTCGATTATATATATCCTGTTAATGCGTTGTTGAAAATATTAATAGAATTTTAAAAAGGGGGACATTTTTCAATGTGCTTCCCAACAACAAATGCTGGGTGTGGTGTTGGCCACATTACCCTTTTGTACATTGCGCTGATCTCGTAGGCACTCACTAAAAGCACTTGCCCCAACAGTAGTCCACGTAGGCTACATGGAGCTCCTCGTGTTTGTGAAAGATCGTGAGAGCAATGCAGGAGTTTGAGCAGCAGGAGGCATCGCTGGAGCAGGCCCGGCAGGTGCAGCTCCGCGATCTGGAGACGAGGCAGAGCAAAGCAGCGGTGCTCACGGATAGTCACACGTCTCATAACGCGCTCGCCACCCGGGCCCTACAGCGCTTGAAGGACGGTGCGATTCCTGCAAACGCCGCGCCAAACGAGCTGCCCGCTGGAGCGCCTTACAAGCTTAAAGTTATTTATGGGCGGCTTTTAAACGCATAATAAATACAAATGGAAATTTGACTGCATAGCTTGAGTTAGCATTACAGGAAAAATGGATGCATACAAGGTGCAGGACCGGAAGCATAATCGACGGGGCCATGAGAGAGCGTTTGGTAATGTCTACCGCTAAACTTGAGAATTTAGAATTTGTATACTAACATTTACCAGCTTGTTACATTCCCACTCATTTACTGTTTGCCTTTGTGGTCTACGGAGACCGGTTGGGAAGAGGACGACTTGAGCAACGTCTGCTTTCGAAGTAACATGCTTAAACACCGTATTAAAGTTGAAATGTGGATCTAATCAAGGCTATGGAAACCTCAAATGAAAGGAGACAAGAGGACTGCTCGCAATGCCGACTGCGGGGCCTCGGGTTCCGCCCTGAAGTCGTTACTGCTAGAACTCTCACTGGGGCTCCACTGAGAAACAGGAGAAACAGCTCACCACATCAGAATCAATATTTTTTTGCTTCTATTCAAATACGCTGAATTTGTCACCATTTTCCAAAATGTAATTGTTTGTCTTTAGTGGCCATTGGTTGCATCACGTGATGTGATGGAATCTGTTACATGTAGCTTAATTTGACTTAAAACTCAGATCTAAACATTTATTCCAGAAGATGTAAACATTACTACAAGTGCAAGGTCCGCTTTTAGGACTGATGTTTACTTTGGTAAAAATGCTAATTTAATTATTGTCAGTATCATGTATGTAATATGCAGCTGTTGGCTTAACAGAGATGAGCGTTGAGTATTTGAAGAATCTAAATTATTTTGTTTAAGCAGGTGGGGACTCAAAAGACAAGCATAGTCTCATTTGCAAGTGTAACCTCGGAATGTGTGTTATGTTAAGCATTTCACTGCGTGCACACAAGCTGGCGGTGTTGAGTGACCCACAGCTGAGCGTGTCGTGCAGGGGTGGAACTGCTCTTCACGAATCTGCAGTGCGATCGATCGGAGATCGAGGAGCTGCTGTCTGGAGCAGGCGGGATCCAAGACTCCACTGTGATGCATTACCTTGGCAACATTGAGCACAAAGCGAACCACCTGCTGACTGTGCAGTCCTACCTCTCTCTTAAGGTAGACACCGCACACGTGACCGGTGTCTCTCTTGAGGAAGATGATGTCTCTGTCTCTGCGTACATGCTGCCCTGTCTCCGTCTGTGCTGTGCACTCAGGATGACGAGAAGCCGTTTGAGTCTCCAGATGGAGCACGGATACTTCTGGGACAGTCTCCGCTGGAAACGGTGCCTGACCTCGCAGTGCAACTGCCTTCCCCTGGGTCAGGCCCTCACTCACAGCAGCACTTAAGACAATCGCATTGCCTTTACTGCAGCCTACTGAGAGTCAATTCAAGTTTCGAATGTATTTTGTGTAACCAAGTGCAAGCTGAAGAGGATAAGAGTGTCTCATATCTACGAATAACCTGGGTCACCAAAATTATTAAAAGAAAAAAATATAAAAAGTACAATAACAAAGTAAACCGTGTTACAGGAAAAAAAAAACAGCTCCCACCGAGTATTCAACATTCCTACTTTGCTAGCCCCAGTGATTGCCCATTGTTTCATGAGGATACGCGAGGGACAGTATCAGTCCCCTGGGTCATCGATACGTGTGTCCACAGAACCTCCAGAATGCGCTTACTGTGATGTTTTTGAGTGTTCTTTTGGTAGTTAATTTAAGGTGGGGAGGCGGGGGAGAACCAACCTCTCACACCCATCCAACACCCTAATTTGTCACTGTGATAGATGTAAGAACACCAACTCCTCACACTCATTCATGGCCACTAACACACACACACAAAAACCCCCCATATAGCCTTTAAAAGACTGTTAGGGCAAGAGGGCTGCTAGCGATCACCTATTAAGGCTGGCACGGCGCATGAGGGGGTGGATGGCCAGCAACACACACGTCGGCCTTTGATTATCCAGTGGTGAGGTTTACATGCTGTGCCAGGTACTTATATAAGGATGAATCGACCTTAGGAGAGGCCCAAGACTTGTTCACATATTTGTTACTGATGTTGGCTTTGAGCAACAATCTCACTCCAGTCACCAGGTTCATTGTTCAGTTTGCTAACCACAATACAAATGCTCTCCAGCACACAACAACAGCTACTATTCGTCACTAAGTGGCGGCGACCTTTCCACAGCGCTTGTGGCAGCCTAGGTGCACTTTCAGGTCACGGGAAGTATTCAAGGCTCCCTGACAGGAGGTCAAGGGACCTGGCAGATGCACCACCTGTGTTCCCCACTGTGCCAACTTTGTTGGAGAGCGACTGCCTCCAACTGCCCAATAACATTCTTCACGAGGCTCCTCCATAGAGGCTGATCTTAACACTGCTGGTACAAATCATCGGCAAGTCCATTGGGCTCCATATTCTCCTGTACCACTTCAGCCCACCTCTTTTCTAGCCTGTACTGTGCCAATTTATCCCCTTCTCTCCAAGCAAACAGAAGCTACTTGGGCATGCGATGGCTGGGCATGCAGGCTACATGACCCAGATAAACAGCCTCACCTGCCAAAGGAGCTCACTTTTTCAAGGATCTGTGAACTCACACAATCCAGTCTGATTAAACTCAGGATGGATCGATTATAGACAGGCCAACCAGAAAGTTTCAAGCCGGTCCAGATCTTCCTTTAAAGGCATCCACGTTTTGCAAATCTAGTGAAGAGAGGACATAACTGTTCCCAAAAAGACCGAGAGCTTCATATGGTGTGATAGTTCAGGCAGCTTCCATACAGATTTACACAGCCAATGAAAAGATAATGGCGCTTGACTGATTCGAAGTGATACCTCTGCTGCCAAACCGGAGCTGGTCATAAGCACACTGGCTATGTATGTGAACTCCTCCACTCTCCACAACTGCCCCATTACAAATTTGATATTTGCTTTGTTTTTGGTGGGGCTTATGGTAAGGCCCCACCTATTTGTTGCATGCACCAGATTTAACAAAAGCATATCTAACTCCTTCTCAGAGTGATCATCATCACCATACGTAACATGGTTGACCAGTATGGAGCCATTCCTTGACCTTACCAGGGCATCACTCAGCCTCCCATTGTTGCTGTACCAGATGGAAATTCATCTGTTCAATAGTGTAGGGACCAGAGGACATCTCTTTTGCACAGAAACAAAAGGAAATTGCTCTGACTACTGGTCATGTAGCTTTACATGGGCCTGCCCACCATTTAACTACCGAAAACATGAATATCCAAAAATCCCTGGCCTATTAATCCTATTATAGGCCTTGACCAGGTCAACACAGCAGAGATGTAGGTCCTGTTAAAATGCCCTATACTTCTGCCGTAGCAGACGGACCAACTATATGACATTTAATTTTTTCGATTAAAGCTTTCGTGACTGCAATGATTCATCTTCTTTGGTTCTTTCGGTAAAGTCACGTAGAATGAGAATAAAATAATAAATTGATAAAATAAAATAACAAAATAATATTCTCACGACGTTTCGGCCACAACACAAGCGGCCTTCATCAGGTGAAGGGGCGAGACACTCCAGCGCTGTCCTACCAGACAGTCTCGCCCCTTCACCTGATGAAGGCCGCTTGGGTTGTGGCCGAAACGTCGTGAGAATTTATTGTTATTTTATTTTATCAATTTATTATTTTATTCTCATTCTACGTGACTTTACCGAAAGAACCAAAGAAGAACTATATGACATCTTTGCAGGACCATGCCGGTCTGAAACCAGACTGGGGCTTCACAACCCTCTCGGCATGGCTGGCAAGGGACACTCAGTCACACACACCCACTCACATTCACAAAGAGGATTCTCATTCACACACTCGCACACTCACACGCGTGGCCACATTGGTGCTGTGTTATGGTAGAGGGGAACAGGACAGTGGCTCTGAGTCATCGGTTTCGGAGGAAGAGCAGCGCCCACTCACGCAAGCCGAACTTCGCGAGAAGATCATCAGGGGGGTGAGTGTTCCACTTTTCTGTTATTTCAGCCTTCAGCTTTCCTAAGTCTTGTCTCCGAGTGAGTTTTTGTGTGTGTTAAGCACCACAGTGAATGTGTGTGTGCGTGTTTGTTTAAACCCCTATGGGGAGCGGTGATGTAGCGGATAGCGACCCGAGTTCGGTTCCTGCTCATGGCCAACACCAGTAACAAATATCTGAACCGGTCCTGGGCCTCCCCTAGGTCGACTCGGCCTCAAATGAGTACCTTATGTGGTGTTTAAACATCGCCACTGTGGAGACAAAGGCGGCCGGGCGTTGTGCTGGTTACTCACCCCTTTGTGTGCCATGCCGGCCTTTATAGGTGCTCGCTAGCAGCACTTGCCCCAAACAGTCTAAAGTCTACATGGGGGGTCTTTGTTGTACCGCACAATAAGTGTGTGTCTGTGTGGCGAGCAGGTGTTGCGCAGGGAGGAGAGGGCTGGTGGGGGGAGGCCGCAGCTGGAGCAGGACGGTCCTCACGACACAAGGGCTCCAATGTCTGAGCGGAGGGAGCGTCATTAAGAACCTTGGCCCGGCAGAGTGGGAAAGGGCTCCAGTCCCAGGTTCCTCTGGCCGAGCTGATACACCCAACTCCGCTGTTATTTTTTTTAGAGGTCTTTTCTCGATGGCGCTGTTGAAATGTTCAGTTTGGTCAGTTAATAATCGTGTGATGGTGCATCGGTCTCATAATTGGAATCGATCCTTATGCTCCAGGTGCAAGCATTGACTCATGCATGTGAGAGTTTATTATTTACATTTATATTATAATGTGCAGCCTTTCGTGAATACACTGTTGGATGAAGCTTCCCCGTGACTTTCAGTTGTGGGGATTGTTTGGCCATACGACAACAATGCTGCTTGGTGAAGGTAGGTAAAGGGAAGAGGACTTGGGCCAGTTCAGATTGCATTTACCACTGATGTTTGTCCTGGCTGAGAATTGAACACAGGTTACCAGGTTTATCGTGCAGTGCACTAACCACTGCTCCGTCACTTCACCCTGCGTTGTATGTAATTGGGATATGTGACCTCTGCAGCCACGAGAGGCCTACAATGTGCCCTGGGGATATAAATTAGATTCATGCTGCATTAGCTCAAATTGGCAGATCACGGTGATTAAATGATTGTTTTGTGCCTTGCTGTGATAATTGATTATGCAGTGTTTTTGCAAATATCTTTAATCCAATAAATCTTATAGAAATAAATAATCAGAGATAACGTCTAATTTCACACGTCTCATTGGCTTGCACGGTCTGTTGGAAGTGGATAATACCGGCAGAATTGGTTCAACACAGGTAATATGGACCGGTTTCGACATTCAGTGAGTAATGAGCAGTCTTGCTTGAACCAATGCAGGTAAACTGCCAGATGTTTAGAGGGAAGGACTTTATTAGATATTGGTCCCAGTTTTCCACAAAAGTGCAGTAATACATATTAGATTCATGCAGTGTTCTTCATTGCAAGGCCCACGGGTCACTGGCGGCCCCTGGTGGCCTATAGTGCGTCCCCTGATGTGCAGCCCCCGACAATACACAACACGTGACAACACCACAGCATGCTGTCAAACCCTCAATGTTTTCAAATATGTGGCGGCCCTTGCACTGATTTTGTCTTATCGGCGAAAGTGGCCCCCTTCTGAAAATGAGTGAAGAACACTGGATTAGAGTGCGGCTAATTGGATGTGCAAAACATTTTTTTAGAAAAAAACATTTTCGAAATTCTTCAAAACTTGGTCCAAAAAGAGTGGGCTGGACGTCTATATTGAACATATAAACCTGCAGTTACACAGCGCACACCCTTTCTGGGCTAAACCCGAGTGGAGTCACGTAGGTAATTAGGGGCAATAAGACATGGCATAGGCACCGCAACAGTGGTCATCGGATCCGAAAGATACTCCTTTCGCACTACTGGCTCGTAACGTTAGTCGTGCAGCGGTCAGGTGAGGAAGGGCTGTAGGTTATGTGTGCGTGCGTGTGCATTGCTCGGGGGGGGGGTGGGCTTATATCAACACTCTGAGTTACATTGCTATAACAGGATATAATTAATCATTTGTTGATCGAAAAATCCCATATTAGGTCGCCCATTGACGCTGATTAGCTTCCCTGCGCATGAACATGAGAAGTTTATCGTTCCATGCTGTCGCGGATTCATTGTCCCGTTGCAGCGCAGTGCGCGCGGTGCGTTTTAAATGCGGGCAGCCACGCCAGAAAGTGAAACTTCAGCTTGGCGCAACATCCCCACCTCGTGGCCCAGTGGGTAGTGCCCAAATTTCGTCGCGGAGATTCACTGAACAAGGCTCGCGGCGATAATGAGTGTGCGTCCCACTCATTATGCGTGGTTGGGGCGACGTGACGAGCACTTTGAACAAGGGGTGAGTCGGGTCCCGGCCCTCGCATCCACAGCCCCCTTGGCTTGCCAACAGATCAGAGGGCGCGCAGCTACCCGGGCACGTCGGTGACAAACCGCAGGGGGGGGGGGGTCCTGCGACAGCACTGACAACCGCATCAGAACATCAACAGGCCGATGTTGCACACCTCCTGCATGAATGGGAAATTAGAGACAAGCCACACAAACCAATATAAAATAAACCACTGCAGTCTGCGCTCCTTCGACAGAGAACATTAGGCAGGAGTACACGAACCCTCTCTCCTCAGTTTCAGTTTCTTTATTTTGGTATAGCCCTGTGAGCCATTCGGCTCTTGAATCGGGTGCAACCACAACAAACAAAAAAACACGAACAAAAAAACATCTTAAAGTGACTGTGACTGTGCAAACAGAAAATCCATGAAAAAACAGCAAGAATATTCCTGAAAAAAAAAGCACCGTACACCAACGCTGTGTGCAAAAAATCCCAGTGGGAAGCAAGTCGAACAACAACAACCACAAGAAAACTTAGATTAAGGCCATCAGTCTAACTCCGTACTACAATAAAACACATGTCCAAACCAAAAAAACTTTTCGAAATCACCAAACAATAAAGCCATAATTGCAACGTAACAGTGATCATAGGGACTTTGATCGAACTTTTACAATAAACTACATAAATAACATGTAACACCAAATCCTAGAGCCATAGCTGGCTGCATGAGTTACTCCACAACAACAGAAGCATCAGTCGGAGTATCAAATTTTTCAATGCACCTTTAAGATCCGCACGCTAAATCAAAATACAGATAATACTTTGCAGCGTCATCTGGAGCGAAAACATTTTATTTTATTTTACGCCAATGAATAGCAGTGGCAGCTAGGGGTGTACAACTCCTCAAGAGCAGTTTTGAGAGAAGATCTCATTGGTAGCGATTCAAGTTGCAGTTTATTGGCAATAGCATTCCAGACCCTGGGGGCATCAATAGCAAAGGCCCTTCCTCCAGTTTGTGTACGGCAATAGGGAATGTGAAGCTGGTAAATGAGCGAAGACCTGAGGTCAAATTTGTTCTTTGAAACAGAGAGGAGATCCAGCAGGTAGTCTGCGGATTTTTTTGTAAGTACATCGTGAATAAATAAGATCTGGTGCACAAGCCATCGAACATTAAGAGATGTTAAGTTTGACCCAATGTAGAGATCACAGTGGTGAGTCCTATATTGGCAGTTCAATGCAAATCTTAAGGCCGAGTGATAGATGGAATCAAGCTTCTTCAGTACAGTACTTGGGGCTGATTTATACACGATGTCACAGTAGTCAAGTAGAGGCAGTATAGTAGCTTTTATCAATTCCAAACGGAACATTGGGGGGAAGCAGTGCTTGTGTCGATACAGAAAACCATTTTTTATTTTTGTCATTTTACCAATATAATCAATGTGATCTTCTAAATTCAGTTTTGAATCCAGGATGACCCCAAGATACTTATAGATCTTCACTTGCTCTATTTGATAATTTTTTAAGGAATGTTATTGAGGAAAAATTACTTCCTGCTTTAGTCCTGGTGAGAAGCATAGCACCTTGGTTTTGGAGGTATTCAGAACTAGTTTAAGAACAACTAGCTGATGTTTTAGTTTGTTGAAATCACCCTGGAGCTTAGAAATCACGTCATCCGGAGAGCGGCCAGCAGTAATCAGTATCGTGTCATCTGCCAAAAGATTTACCCTGAAATGATCCAGATCAAAGCCCAAGTCATTGACATAAAGAGAGAACAAGAGGGGGCCGAGGATGGAACCCTGTGGAACCCTTTTTGTTAGCTTAACACTGTTTGACCTCCAACCATCTGTGAATACAGTTTGGGTGTGAGAAAAGAGGTAATTTTTTCATCATTTTACTGTGTTTTTGGAAAAACCGAGGCAACTTAGTTTACTAAGCAGGGTGTTGTGGTCTATTGTATCAAAAGCTTTGGACAGGTCAAAAAAAAACAGGCACAGTACTGCTTATTATCAAGGCTATTGTAAATTTGATTCAGAGAGTCTAATGCAGCAGATATGGTGCTGTATTTTTTTCGGAACCCAGATTGTTTTAGATGTAGTAGATTATTGGTGGACAGGAAACTGCTAATTTGGTAGTTCAATACTTTTTCAAAAATTTTTCATCAATGGGGACAAAATTGAGAAAGGTCGGTAGTTATTTGGATCATCTTTAGGGCCCCTTTGTGAAGTGGACGGACATAGGAATGTTTGCATTCTGGAGGAACTGATGCTTCTTTGATGGACAGGTTGAAAATATGAGCTATAGGTTTGTATATTAGATGACCAACAGTTAGTAGAGCAAAGACAGGAATACTATCTGCTCTGGTAGAGGAGGACCCTTTGAGGTAGAACAGTTGTTTCAGAACATTACTTTTGTGGATTGGCTGGAAACTAAATTCGTTTAATATTTGGACAGGGGTGACTCCCAATACATTATCAAAAAGATTACTAGCTTCAGAAAAATGAAGGTTAAAATTGTCAACTATTTTTTGGGGATCTGAAAAATATTCCCCATTTCGGTTAAGCTCAACGGGCAGATTTTACGTTTTGGATGCCTTTTCGATACATTTGATTGTTTTCCAAAAGATCCTGGCATTTCCATGTGATTGCAGGAGAGTGGAGGAAAAGTAGGCATTTTTTGCATGCCGTATTTTTTTGACGCATCTATTCCTCTGAGCACATGCCCAAGCCTTGTCCCTAGTTTTCATGAGCTTTGTAATCAAAGGCTCAAACCATGGTGGGCGGTTGCCTTTAGTTTTAAATATAACCAACGGAGCATGTTTGTTAAGAATTTGGAGAAACGTGTACCTGAAGGTCTCCCAAGTCGTAGTCAGGTTGGGGATATCACAGACCTTGTCAATATCCGAGTGAAGCACATCATTAGTAAATGCCTGAGTGCTGAAGTGTCTATGTCATAGAGTGCTTCTGAACCAATTTAGGGGGGCTTTGGGCCTGGCTGATGATCTCACCCCAAAAATGAAGGAGTGATCACTAAGGTTATTACCCAGAACACCAGTCAGTGCGAAATTGTGAGGGACATTTGTCAAATAGGACGTCAAGCAGAGATGACTGTCCCGGAGTTTTTAGGTTGGGTCTTGTGGGGATATTTATTAATTCAAACAGGTTAAATTCATCTGCAAAATGTGTGGCCACAGCCGGCGGGTTTAGCCAATTCCAATTTAGATCACCCACTAAAACTATTTGACCTTTAGGGAGGCCCCCAAAAAGCTCTCTTAGTGCAGATGCAGCTGCAACATCCTTCCCACTAGGCGGTCTATAGCAGCACACTTCTAATATCTGTTGATTATTTGGGAGAGTTATTCTGAAAAGCCAGACCTTAAAAGCAACATTTTTTATACAAGGAGTGAGCTGGTGAACATGCAATAGTATTACGAACATAGATGGCAATTCCACCTCCTTTAGATCCTCGGTCAAGCCGAAAAAGTTTGTAGTTGTCAATCGTAATCTGCAAGTCATTGACGGCAGGAGTGAGAAATGTTTCTGTTAGGCAAAAAATGTCCGGGTCAAGATTTGACACTTCCAGTTTTAGTTGACTTAATTTAATCACTTAATTTAATCACACACCAACACCTTTTCTGCCAGAAAAATCTACAGAATTATACGAGCTCTTTACATTTGGGCCAGGATGAAGCTCAATACCACCCAGTAATAAGAAAAGTAGAATTTATAGTTTGCACAAGTATTTTCTGTGAAAGGATGAAGAGCAGCGAACCTTGGACGAATAGCAGCAGCTCGCAGATGGTGTTATTTTTAAGAGCAGAATGAAGTTTGGAAGGAGTGCTGGTGAAGTAATGGGACAAAAA